TTTGGTCATGTTATCAGAAGGGACCATTCCCCGGAGAAGGATATCATGCTTGGTAAAGTGGAGGGTCAATGCAAAAGGGGAAGACTTTCAATGAGATGGACTGACACAGTGGCTGCAACGATGGGCTCAGGTATAGCAAGGATTGTGAGGATGGCGCATGACCGGACAGTGTTTCATTCTGTTGTACATAGGGTCACTATGAGTAAGAGTCAACTCAATGGCACCTAACAACAACAACAAGGGGTGGGAGGGTATGGGATGGTAAACCACTAACTAGAGAGTCCATACATAATAACTTGGGTGAAGGTGAAGGCAATAAAAATAAAGAGGAGGTGAGCACAAAATGATCAAGGGAAGGAAGATGTTGGCTGTAATACAAGAGTTAGAGGCAACAGAGGTAAATACTAATTCATACACAATCCTGCAATAACAGTAATAATAATAATAAATAATGTATAAGTGGATACATACATAGACACATAAACTGAACAAGTGTGGGAAGGAGAATGGGACTATACCCATGAATATGTATAGGTTTGACAGAGAATATTTCTATGTATGTATTTACAAATGCTGCAAATATAGCCATGAATATAGTAAAGTGTACAGGGGAGGGGACAAAGGAAAAAAAAAGTGGTTGAAATGGCCAATATTTGTTATATGTATTTCACTACAAAGTTTTAAAAAACATCCTTTTGAATATGATGTTCAAAACAGTTTATGGAGAAGAAAGGAAATAGGATAATAGTGTCTGTACTACATTAGCAACAAGAGAGATGGAGGAAAAAAAGATGTGAGATATATTTTGGAGATAGAGAAATGTCCAGATTTGCTAATGGACTGGATACAGCTATGGAGGGAAAGGTGGGATTAAGAACTACTTCTACCTGAACATCTGGTGGGATGGAGGTAGCATTCAGTGAGATGAGTGGAGGGACAGGTTTTCTAATCATCTTGAGTTTGAAGCTCAGTGAATAGGCCAGAACTAGAAAGAGAACTCCGGTTTTTAAACTGATCCTTTGAACTTTAACCTTTAACTTCGATCTCTTGTTTCAACCACACTGGGTAGTATCTCTTGTTAAATAAGGAGCCCTGGTAGCACAGTGGTTAAAGCACTTGGCTGCTAAAGGAAAAGTTGGTGACTGGAACCTACTGATAGCTCCTTGGGAGGAAAGACCTGTTGATCTGTTCCTGTAAAGACTACAGCCTAGGAAACCCTATGTGGCAGTTCTATGTCCTATAGAGGGGCTAGGACTCAGAATTAACTTGATGGCAACAAATCTTCTACTCTTCTACTTCTCATCTTCTGTCAACTGTATGTATACATTCTGTTAGTAACCTTATCTAGACTTTCTATAGTTTATCTATAGATTGATTCCCAAAATTGAAAAATACTAAATAGCATCTGTAATAATTTCTGTTCACTGAAGGGACAAATACTATACTAGGATTACATTTTCTTTCAGTGAGTCCAGTGTCCCAGTGCCACTTGAAGGAAAATGATTCTCGTATTCATGTCAAATAAATTCTCTTTTTACATTATAAATTATTTCCCTTGAGAATCTTGAAGACACTACTCCATTGTGCCTTTGCAACAGTGCTGCTGACAAAGAGTCTGATTCCAGCTTGAATTTTATTCCTTAGATGGTGACTTATTTTTCTGGAAGCTTTTAGAATCTTCTCTTTATAATGGCGTTTTGCAACTTCATGATAATGTGTAGGTGTGTGGATTTTTTTCCTTCATACTTGGAACCACTTGCTGGGCCCTTTCAGTGCCTCTCTTCTACACTGGGACATTTATTATTATTCTAGAAATATAGAGTACTAGTTATGAGCATAAGCATCAAAGTCAGACTATCTGTGCTCAAATACCAATTATTCACTGTGTAGCCTAGAGTAAGTTATTTAAAGTCTGTGCTTGAAAACTGAGAATATATTAATACTATTTTACCTGATAAAGCTGATGTGAAAATTAAATGAGTTAATATTTTAAAAGCACCTAAAAAAAAAAAAAATTCACTGCCACTGAGTTGGATCCGACTTACAGTGACCCCTCCTTGGGTTTCTGAGGCGGTATCACTGCTGAAGTAGATTGCCCAATCTTCCTTCTGAGGAGTGGCTGGTGGGTTTGAACCACTAGCCTTCTGGTTAGCAGTCAAATGCCTTAGGCACTATGCCGCCAGAGCTTCTAATAGTGCTGATAAATAGTATGCACAGTAGTATTCTGGCAAATAGTATGTACTCAGTCAATGTTAGGTTTTGATAATTGTTTTGTTTTTATTTTCACTCCAGGTTGCATTTCTTTCATATTTTCTAGCTTGTTTTACACACTTGATATTTCCTTGACTTTATCTTCCTATCATTAAAATATAGTAATCCAGCATAATCCTGATGTTTAGTTGTCCAGTCATAATTAAGAATAGGATGGAGGAGTAGCTTGATTGATTAAAATAACTGATGTGGTAATATCTAGCTAGCTAACTTTGCCAGTGGATAATACACTAGGCTTTAGTGGTCTTCAGACTGGAATAGGGTGGAATGCTTATGACTGGGGCATTTATTTACAAGACAAACTTTAAAATAATCCTCTGATTTCCAACCTTCCACGCCACCGCTTTTCATTAATGCCATCTCCTATGCGCCTGACTGTGCCTACAGGTACTCCAGGGTTTTGTCAGGCAGATTGACTCTTCTTTGCTAAACTCTTTCCAGGTATCCTCCCAGACCAATTGCTATGGAGTCAAGTCTGACTCATGGTGACCCTATAAGTGTCAGAGTAGAACTGTGCTTCACAAAGTTTCAATTGCTGACTTTTCAGAAGTACATGACCAGGCCTTTCTTCCGAGGAGCCTCTGAGTAGATTAGAACCCCCAATCTTTTGGTTAGCAGCTTGCAGCCCCAGGGACTCTTCTAGGTATTCTAGGCTACTGCATCTCTGCTCTCTGTTATCCATAAAGAGGCTCCATTCTTTTCCACATTCCAGAAAGTTCTGAACTTAGCTCCTGTGTTCTTCCTTCCACTCTCTTCACCTCTATGAGGGTTATTCCTTTGCTACCATTTAATGCAGAGGAAGAGGAGACACATCTTTATGCTCAGTCTATCATCCTGAATCAAAGTGTAAACTTTATTGCCTTTCTAAACGAGAGGCCATTATTACAGATTATCTAACAATCCCTATTCATGAACCAACATCCTTGAGGTGAAAATCATGCTAAATGTGACCATTTTCTAATGTTCTGACCTTTATTTGTATCCTTTACTAGGCTGGTCCAGACCACAGAGGCCAGAAGTCTGAAATTAAGTGAGGGATTCCCGACCTCTGAAAGCAATCCTCAGGTGTCTCCTGCTGTGTCACAGGAAATTATTTGAAGTTCAGCTTATGTACTTTGTACGGGATGAAAAGCACAGTGAGTACTTAATAAATACATTTCTGTTTTGATTTTATTCTGCACTTTTTGAAGACTTACTACTCCATGGTATATATGACTAGAATGTGATTTAAAAATTAGATACCATTTGAATAAAATGTGAAATACTGGGTTCAATTCAGTGACATTATTGCCAAGTCAAAGAAATTTTAGATTTGAATGTCTTATTGAATAGTCTATGGAACAGTATTTTCTAAATTATGTTTTGTGGGACACCCATTACAGGAGATGATCCTCTGAAAAAGGAGAGGTAGTCAATAAGAGGGAGAAACATGGCAGCCTTTATTCTCCTTCTTGGAAATTCATCATGCTTATGTTCAGAAGAAGGATTTCAAGAGTTCTGAAGTGAATAAATCTGTTTAATACTATAAATATAGTTTTTGCCAAACTTATTTGACCACTTCTCCCTTTATTTTGAGTAATATCTATAACCATTAAGCAAAACAACTGTTCCTCAGAGTACACTTTGAGAAATATTCTATAAAGGATTGCCTAGTATTTTAATAGGATAATATTTAAAAGTTTGGTGGCAACAATGAACAGAAGGCTATTAGGTTCCTGATTTGGAGGCTGGCATCAGTAAGGAACAGTACAACTCCCCATTGTTGCATTATTCACATTTGAAGATAAGCTTTCCAGTGAGTAGGGATAAGGAAAAAACTTGTGGAGGGCTATACTTAGTGGATGTGTATTTCCAACTCCTATAGAGAGCTCTGGTAGCATAGTGGCTAAGACACTTGCCTGCTAACCAGACGGCTGGCGGTTCAAACCCACAAGCCACTCCTCGAAAGGAAGGTTGGGCAATCCTACTTCCGTAGTGATACTGCCTCGGAAACCCAAGGAGGGGTCGCTATGAGTCGGGGCCGACTCGACGGCAC